ACTTTTATAACAATTGTCTTAAGGTGTGTTTTTTATTTTTGACTTTTATAACAATTGTTTTAAAGATTTGGTACATAACATATTTTATAATACCTAAAAATCATAATTTTTAAGAATCATGAAAATATATTTTTTAGGTAATAAATATTTTTTAGAATGATTATAAATATTACTTGTGAATAAATTTTTAATAAAAATAAGATGATATTTTTATCATATTAAATATTATTTTCACTTTAAAAAATTAACTTTTCACTTCCCTATAAAAATAATCATGTGAAAATTTTTTGTTAAAACTATTTATGAACTTCTTTATTGAAATAATATTTTTTTAAAATTTTTTTACTCAAATAGCAACTGTGCAAATTTATTTACACCACTAACACTATTTACGATTGACGTTCAGAACGAACTATTTCAGAACGGGCTGTTCTAGATGTAAAAATAACACATGATGAATGGATCAGAACGGCCTGTTTCGAATTCAGAACGGTCTGCTTCAAATTCAAATTTAACACATGAAATATGAAACTAGAATGGGTCGTTCTGAATTCAGAACGGGTCGTGCTGGCCATTTCTGATACGAATCTTTAAACATCAATTTAATATCAAAATCTAGACTAATTTAATATCAATAATCTACACTAATTATTCTATTTTTATCTGTTTGCGACTCCTCCTTTCACTCCAATTCATGGACGCGTAACAAACATTGGATCGAGAAGATAAAGAAGAAGAAGAAGAAGAGAGTGAAGTGAGTTCCATTTGGAATCGAGAGATGAGAGGAGAAAGAGAGAGGAACAGCAGCAACACAGGGACAGGGACAGGGACGGCGCAGAGAAGGATAGGGTACATAAACGCCCAAACGACGTCGTTGCAGCAGATCCGTCCCTCTCTCATAACGTGGTTCCTGCAGCGACCCCACTCCATCCCCTTCGTGCTCGCGCTCTTCCTCTTCCTCGCCTGGATCTCCCTCCGCGTGCAGCGCGCCGCCCACACGCTCCCCCGCTCCTCCGCCTCCGACCGCCGCGACGCCGCCGCCAGCCTCGTCCGCTTCCTCCCCTCGCGCGCCGCCAAGGACAACCGCGGCTGGCTCTTCGACCCCGTGGCGCTCGCCCTCGCTTCCGGCCTCAAAGGTACGATCAAACGGCCTCACACGCTGTCGTTTGGGTTTCGGAGGGAATTGCTGTGTGTGGTGCTTGTGGTTCTGCAGGTGGAGCTGTCACGTGCGCCTCGCTTCACGTGGGAGAAATTCGACCTGGCAAATTCAGAGGGAATCACAGACACCACGATTCCAACGAGACTTTTCTCATTTGGGGCGCTGCCACCAGGTTTAGGGTAAACAATTTTTCTTTTCTTTACACAAAATTCGAAATGCTTAGATTAAATTATTTAAAATTAATTATCGTTTTTTTTAAATTACATACAAATAATATGTTACTCATGATAAGAAACCACTGGTATGGTCTAGTTGAAGGTTTGAGATTACTCATTACAAGAAATCACCATCACCAAGCTTGTGAGATATTTCGGGTCCCACTACAAAATTAAGCCTCTCTATCCAGCAACGGATATTATTTTAATTATACTGATTAAAATAATTTTAATTTCACTTTTGATTCTTCTATTTTAAGTTGATTTTATGATCACATTGATATTTTTTCTTAAAGTCTAATTCTTCCTATTATTTCAATGTGGTCCAGTTATAAGTTTAAGTAGAATTGGAATAAAATTTAGGGTGTAAGATTTAGAAAAAAATGGGATTTAGAAAAGAGACTCATTAAAATTTGTCAATTAATTTCTTGATGAATTCTTCCTTAATATGGTATAAGTCCATAAAATATTCACTCTCTTCATAAAAAGTACTAAGCTTTTTAGCAGAGGGAAGGGGCGCGGGTTTTGCATGTTTCCTGCTGCTTCATTGTTTGTTGGTCTTAAATAATTTTAATCCAATATAAAATAGGACAAAACTTAATCGGATATGGTTAGAATTAGAGATATATCTAAGTAATATATGTAAATATATATTAATGAGATGTGCAATAAATATAAATGCATATTGTTAAAATAAATTTTCAATCCTAATCGAAAAATAACATCAATTGTACTTAAAGAATTGGTTTCAAATTTTGTCCTATAAAATAATAGTTTACAGAGTGTACACATCAGTCATCATGGTAAGAGCTATTTGATCGATTAATTTTGCAATGCAATGAAGGAAGATTTAAACAACATAGTCAAAATGTTGAATAAACGGTGGCCTGTATTACTAACATTTATATTCTGATTATTCTCATGAATCTGTTATTCATGATTTGCAACCAATTTATTTGCAGTTAGAGAACAGCGAGGAAGATAATGGTTATGCCGAAGTGACCCTTGACAGAGATGAAATTGCTGTAGCTGCCAGTCCAGTTCACACAGCGCATGCTCTAGTGAACATTGATCCCATTCGTAGTACCTTCTTTATAGGGTGTCAAGACAGTATCGTAAACTATAATGCCTCTACTGACTTTAATGTATGGAAAGATCTTTGAACATTTTTTTTCTTTTCATTTTGTTTCTGAATCTGAAATGTATCTGAGTCTCCAGGTTGCTGCACAGCATAATGAAGTTTTAACCTATTAGTTTTCTGTACAATTACGGAGCATAGTTGCAAATTCGGCTGCTGAATGTCAGATTTTATAAGAAAGGAAGACAGAAACCAAGGGAAATACAGTTATGACCTTAGTCTGATACAAGAAGGGAAAAATTGCATAGGAACATTGTTAATTAAACACTTCTTTATAAAGAAAGAAAGATACCAATGATGGTCCGTTTATATAATTTTTTAATGATTTATAAAGAAAATATATATTTTTTTTTTGGAGGAGTTAATGCATTTATATGGGAGAACTTTTAAAATACGGTAATTTGATGAACTAAATTAACACAAAATAATTTAGATAAGGATCAAGAATGATGTATTTTTTAATATAAAAAACTAAAGTAGTACAAATTTTATTTTTAGACTAAAATAAAATATTAAAAATTTAGAAGAAATAAAATTATATTATATCGTTCATTTTTCCTTATTATTTTTTCTTTTAAAATCACTTATATATATATATATATTTTTTTTATTTTTTGAATAAACATATTGTATAGCTAGCTGAAATTTGTGTCGTTGCATATATATTTTAAGTCATGTTAATTAATTTTTGTTGTGTTTTTGTAACGACCATAAACTTAGTTTGTAGACATTATTAGGATCATAATATCTTATGTATTGTCTAATTTGATGATTATTGGACCATAATAAGTTTGTTCTTAGAAAGGCGCTCTAGTAGATTAAGAAGCAAGAAAAAATGTTTATAAGATATTCTTAATTTCGATTCTTAAGTGATGTGAGATTTTTATGTATATTGGAACAAGTTCCAAGGATGCTAGTGAATTTACGGTCGAATATTAGTTTTAGAAGGAGAGTCTATATCACCCCTTTTTAAGACAAAATTGTGATGATCCAACAAATATCAAAATAGACAATACCTCAAACGCGATGATTTTAACAATACCAATAAACTAATTATTGAAACAATTTCTAAAATTTTAATAAGTTTATTTGTGAAATCCTTTTTAATTGACTAATGAAGCAATATGTGACCATAGCCGAATAAATTTACGTATGCAATTTATTTATTATTAAAGTTTATATTTTTCAATATGTTAATAAAATAAAAAGTTTAATTATACTTTTAGTTACTCTGTGATTTTTTATTCTTCAATGTTTTTTTTTTAACTTACGTCTACTTTTAAAATTAAGTAAAAATAGTTTCTCGCCATTTTATTTTTCTATTTAGAACTATCCAAAATATGGTTAAACTTACACTGTTAAAATGTGAATAGATTTTTTTTTAATTCTTAAATAGTTTAACCTTATTAAATTATCAAATTCCATATTGTGAATACAACCCTTTCGGCCTGTTTTGCAATAAATTGCGTAGTCCTCACTCCTCACTGATTCCCCATTCAATTCCATTTTCAGGAAGAAACAATGCACGGTTAAGGAATTTTTTTTTTTCAACCCCTAAAAAGGTAGTGCTTGTAAAAAAAATGGTTTAAAAATCAATTCAAATATTCTCTTGTAATGAATTTCAAACATACGAATTATTTTCTAAATCAAATCAAATTAACTCCCTATGTTAACCACAGCACAAGGAATGATACTTAGGTTTACAAGTTAATAATGTTTAATTTGAATGGGGAACTTGTGTGATGCGCATCACTTGCAAGAAAAGAACTTGACATCACCTACTTCACATTTCCTTTTTTTTTTTTTTTTTTTTTTTTAATTTTTTTTTTTTGGGCAAACTATACAAG